AGGAAAAATAAAACGGGAAATCTTTCAAAGGTGGCACACTACCTTTAAAGGTATGCGTTTGATCCCCAAATTCAAAGGATGCTGCACCCGTAAATAAAACGATTTTATATATGACTACGACTTGTTCAGTGTTCGAGGTAGGGAATACCATGTGCTTCGATCAGTCTTAGCTTTGAACCTTTGGACCTTGTATTGCGCTCAGCGTTATACCCATGGGGATTTCGGCCGCGATTTTTTTTTCATTTCATTTCATTTCATTTTATTTTTAATATTTTTTTAGGGGGAGTCGGCTCGGTGTGCCTCGACACCAGTGTTACTGAGTCTGGCGCAGCAGCAGTCCCCACTGGCACTCGGTCTCAATATACCCAGACCGTTTCTGTGACGTCACTGTCTCGCTATCACGGCGTCACACTGCGATTTCCCGCCGAATTAGCAAACAGCGGCGATAGTGGCGCGTCGTCTGCCGTCGCTGCGTCGCGATTGTCGCCGCGGCGTCATGACGCAGCCGGGTGGCGCGATAGAACGGTCATCGACATAGCGGCGCCGATAGCTCGGTGGGGGGTTCAGCCAACAACCAGGTGGACTCTGCGATAGGGGGTCCAATCGGCGCCCCGGCGTCGGCCGCGATACCCCCCCCCCCCCCGTAAGTGTACTTATGATAGGAGCACCTGCGATAGCCGGGCGTCGGTGATAGGGCCGGGGAGGGCCGAGGTGGCCAGATAGACGGTGAACCGAGAGGAGGCGAGGTTGCCAGATAGTCAGCAGAGCGAGGGCACCCCTCACTACACTCCCAGACATGGGCACGCTGAGTGAAAGTCGACGCAACGCATGCGCTCCGTGCCTGGCGGAGATGACTGGTGTTGAACACCGTGTGCTGTCCGATAGGTCAGGTGACTGTGACATACATAGGTATAGGTCACTCTCTTCTGACGATTGTACGAGTGAAATGAGTAAATGATACAAAAATAGGGGAAATGATGCAAATAAAATGAATGACATGATTTCAAAATTGAAATGTATGACTGCTGTTCTTACCATACACATGGGCATACCATATTCATGGGTGGAGCTTTTCCAGGGAAGTTGGTGGGGCAAAAAGTTGTCAAACCTAAAATGCCTGATTGTTAAGCTAGATAAAATACAACACTGAACCATTTTTTATAACAGAGATAACATTTTGCATTACTCAGACATTCCAAAGCTCCTCAATGCAAAGACGATTGGTTTGCCAAGCAATTAAGTCCTACAAATTAGCTTGAGTTGGTGGGGAAATTGGTGGAGCAAAATGGCAAGTTGGTGGGGCAGCCGCCCCACCAACTGAATAGGAAGCTCCGCCCCTGGGTATACTCTTTTCAACCTTCCACAATTGTAATTTGTATCCCCGACAGTTCCTAAACTTAAACAGTTGCAGATGTAAATGTGAAGGTTTATAAAATGAATATAATCAATAAATATAGCATGGTGTGACGTAAATGTTCAGAGAACCAGTGGCAGTGTATCTTTCGCCCCAGAAATGGAACGAATCGACGACACTGATTGCCAGTTCAGCACCTGGCCACATTTCGGTCACGACACTTTGACGTCATGCACGGACATAACAATCGGGGTGACGTAGAAGTCAGCTCTTTATGTGTTCAGCTCAGGGCACTAAAGAGCCGTTCAGCCATTTGTAAACGCAGTATCAGCCGATAACCAGAAAATAAGTGGCTTTCTGCATAGCCCCACTCAACCAATGTCTTTCAACATGATCCAGTATGCGTAATGCCTCTGCTGCTAGGTTAGCAGTCTTTCCCTTTGGTCAACACATAGGAGTCACTAGTTCACTACAACGCATTTGAGATGTCTTCTATGGTTGTGATTCTTGGTAAACGTTGTGACACATCAGGGTAAGCTCGTCATTCGTCCTTAAATTGTATGCTTATTTATGTCGTCCAATGGTGAGTTTAGCCAACAAACTTAGGTATAGATCTGCATTCTGCAGTCATACTAAATTCGAGCGTTTCTATTGTTTATATGCAGCAGGTGACAAGTGAGAAATTAGGTCATTAGAGGTTATATGGGTCATCAAAGTCAAATATTCCCGACTTTGATATTCGTTGACCAATTGTCTCAAATAATGTGAATTAAAAAAAAAAACTAAAATATCGCAGACAAAGCATTCGATGGCCCATCTTAAGCTCTTTTATCAATGTGTCATCTTGTTGATTGGCTGTTGTGTTACCGAAATCAGTGGAGTAGCTTCCCACAATGTGTCTGCTGAGGTCACGCTCGCTATAATCCGCTGAACAGTGTGCCAACTCCTATGAGCTTGGCGGCCGATCGGGTCTTTCTGGTAACTGACGCCGGGTCAGTTGGCAGAGGCCGCCGGTCGGGCCCTGGGCAGGTGCTGACGCAGCTCACCTCGCTGTCCTCTGGCTCACTCAGCCACGGTCCGAGACGGCCTTTTGGCTCATCCACGGCCAGAGGCGGTGTTCTGACTTCTGTGAAGCCTGAGACAGTCCTTTGGCTCCTGTAACGGCTGTGACGGTTCCTTGACGCCTCCGCGGTCTGTTGTAAGACGGTCCTCTGGCTCCCTCCTGTCCATTGCTAGAGACGGCCTTCGGGCTGTCTTTGGTCTAAGACAGTGTTCTGGTCCTCTAAGGCCCGAGGGCATCTCAAGAAGTCTGCAGATACGTGCAGTTTCCCACAGAACAGCTATAAATTCGTTTTCTGTTCCATAGAGGAAAGCCCGAACATTTGCTTTTGCTAGCTGATCGCGGGTCCCGCATTTCCTTCGTTTCATCGTTATCTGCAAGAATAGCTATTGACTACTCTCACGCTGGTGTGTTTTTCGGTCAGTTGGTGAGTTTCAGCGACGTAAAATTTCCGGGAGCTATGTCCTTGAGCATTGACTGTAACATTTGAGTAAGATGGCATTGACCACCCATGTTCCTTTCTCTTTCATTATCTGTGAGTCGCGACAGTGAAGGCTGAAGACTGTCACTTTCCACGGCGCAGCAACGTTTTCTCAATTCCAAAACTACGTGAAACCTCAGATACGCCCTAGCTAATGAACCAAACGGTGTCATCCAATCACTGTGATGTCATTGTTGGTGTGTCTCATTCCGCTGTCAGTGATGAAACCTCAGATGCTGCGCAGAGACAAATATTTATTTGACGATCTAAATATCTGCTGGAACATTCAGCGTGACCTCGTCTGGAACGTCACTGCTGTATAGTTCGTCCTCGAGAGATGTTGACTTGCGCATCAAAGAGGGTATGTGTTCTGTCTGCAGGTTACACCATTAAACACGACAACCCTTAAAACTATATTTAAATGGTCCCATACCTATTATGAAACATGTGTCACGCCACATTCCATAAGAATTATATTTAAACGGTTAACGGTTAGTTTGTTTCATAAATTGTTGTTGATCAATGATCTTTCCTTGTTGTGCATATTGAACTTGAGCATCCTTTTCAGCCAGTCAGATGTCATGAGACTGAGTGCCAAACTCAAAAAGTGGTTTGTTGCTGTATGTAGGTATTCCAAACCCCAACGTGTTAAAGTGACCATCCCATCATAGGCGGCGGAACGGGGAGGGCACCAGGGCACCGTGCCTTCCTTTGATTTTGGCATTTTTACATTAGCCCTATGGGCGTTGTATGGAAAGAATGGGGCCAAAAGCCGGCAGTGCCCCCCCCCCCCCCTTAATTGAAGGTGTTCCGCCGCATCCCTTTCGAAAAGTTAATGAATTGGCATGAAAGTGATGTCGCTCGGTTCAGAAAGAGCGAAAACGAATATCTACCAGACTTGTAAACGACTCTGAGTTGATTCGTGAATCGACTCAGAATCAAACCGTTTTTCGATGAGTCATGAGTTGATTCGAATCACTTCATCAAGGAACTTGATGAGTCATGAGTTGATTCGAATCAATTAAATTTAACATCATGAGTCATTTGATGAATCGATTCAAATTTCCAGACTCAAACAAAGAATCGACTCAAAAAAAAATTTGAGTCGTTTACAAGTCTGATATCTACCAGATTTCACCGAAAAATATTCACCGGTTTTCAAGATATTATACTTTTACTTTTGTTTACTTTTTGGGATCTCTGCTGTTCCTAGCGACTTTATTTGGAAGCAATAATTTGGCAGCTGAAAGTGCGGCGCTTGTTGCACGCAAAGCAGCATATACCACCGCGTGCTACCAAACGTTTTAGTAAAACAGTTAAAATCGTTAGATCTGCGCTGACGTCACACATTCAGAGGGGACCGTCTAATGAATTACTTAGCCCCTCTGAGACAAAGTGCTGCAACTTTGAAATTAGATGTTTTCGACTTGAGGCATTTCTCGATGTTGTGAATGCTCAAACCGGTAAGTGCAAGCCAGGGACCCCATTTTGGATAATGGCTATTTCAACTCAAACCAATGTTAAGGTGGGATGGTCACTTTAAACTCAGCAATTAAAACTTAAAATTAGCACCAATAAAGTTAGACAGTACCGCACTACTGCACTGAATCAAGCAAATAATCTAAGCGGGTATTTTGTAAGATCTAAAGGATTATTGTACTTTAATAAAGTACAATCATCCTTCTTTAATTCCCCCCCCCCCCCCCCTCCCCCCGCCCCCCTGTCAGGAAGGCCGAGACGACCCGCTGTCATATCCGTGGCGGAGGCGCGCGTCCGACTCTGCAGTGCCGCCGCCACGCCTGGTGCAGTGGGCGGCGGCGGCGAAAGCAGCTCGCGCTCCCCGTCGGCCGATGTTATCGGTTGCATGATCGGTACCCGGGTCACGCCAGCGCCCTCCACGAAAACGCAAACGGCACTGTTTACGGCCGTGCCGTGCGGCCGCGGCCGCCATAAAAATCACATCCTGGACTCGGCCGGCAGACATGTCCGCCTCCTTGCATGACCGTCAGCGAAAAATGGACTGCCGAGCGCCGGTCTGCTCCGGATTCCTTTCGTCGCCCGGCGCGGCTCACTCCCGGCAGCATGCAACGCCAAAACGCAACGACTGCAATCAGTCTCCTCTTTATTTCTAAAGCCGAACAGCCAAGTGTGTCGCTCTGAATCGGTTACGTTCGTCCGTCCGTCGTCCAATTCAAAAACAAATGTCCGCCAACGCGGGTGGCATCGCATTCGCCACGCAAGCACCGCGGCGCATGTCGCGCGTTCAACGACCAAAAATCGCCGCCCAGTCGAGCCCGGCGGTAAACAGCGCGCACTTATAACACAGCTATATGCACCCAGCCGGCTGCGCACAGCGCGAAATCAACGCCTACAACTCGGCCAAAACTCGAATATAAATCAAAACGGCGCGCGGCGCGTCAATGCGCCGCGACGGCCACCAACCAAATAATGATCCGACAACAGACGGCACCGGTACAGGCGGCGGTCTTACAAGCTAACCAGGGGAGGAGCGGGGCTAATCAATCAAGGTGCAGGTATGTGTGCATGTGGTGAGATCAGTCACCGAATAAAAAATCACCTCAGTGGTCCCAAAGAGAACAAGCGCTGGCGAGCCTGCCGCTCATCGACAAAACAAACAATGCAGAAATACAACAAAGATGGCAGGCAGGCAGGCGCCGGCTCACGCGGAGGGCAGGAGCCTCGGCTCAGACCGCCCGCCACGTGCGCCTCCAGTTGCACCCGCCCGACCACCCCAGTCCAGCGCCACAACACATCGGCTCGCCGCGACGAAATCGAACACCGGGCCTCCCTCCAGTCGCGCAACCAACAGACGCCGGACACGTCCGCATACAAACGTGCTGACTAGGCATTCACCATCTATAAAAAGTAGAAGCAGCTCTAGCCCGGAAAGAGCGAAATATGTACAACGATGACAATCTTTGTCATGCCATTCCGTCTGCAAAAACTCTCCCACAAACCAGCAGGATGCTTGCTTCACAAAACTTGACAGCCTGATCTTTCCCTACCTAGGACGTGTAACATCAAGAAACAAGCACCACCAGTCGTATGCCTCCTATCAATTTCCTGCGCCAGCTATGCGCGCTCGATCTCTGCTCGGGCAGCTCGGCCCGAGCGCAATACGCAACAATCGGGCGACATCGGTCAGCCCGTAAACAAGACGCCCAGGGGATGGTGTGCCCCGACGACTAGGGCTCGCGCTCCTTTTTCACCGGTATATCCTCGCCGCCCAGGATGGTGGATATCTCGTTCTGCATGAAAGCCCACGGCACGTTGGAGTCCTGCAGTGGGCACTTCTCTCCGCTCGGGCAGTACACCTGGCGAGGAAAAGACGACAGCGTCAGACATCGGCCACTATCGCTCCAAATCAAACGGACAACAGCACACACATTCGGCGATGGTTACGACATTGTGTGTTCAGATACAACACTATCGAACCATGAGGTCTCTATCGGGTCAGCGTCTTTGAACAGAGGGCACCCTGTTGTTCCCCAGGCCTCTCAAGTAGCGGGAAATTCGTCACATCACACCACCACCGGCCACAGTCGATAGCCGGCGATAGGCCATCGCAACGCAAAAAGCATCCCACTTTCCGGGCGTCGAGTACACAGCGTCGAGTTGACAGTACACAGTGCACAGTGCGGCCGCGCGTCGGTCGGAGCAGGACGGACGGACACGTGAACAACTCGTGCGGAGGGCAGGGGGCGGCGCCAGGCCTATCGTAGCGTCAACAGAGGAGGGGCGGCGTCGGCGACCGGCCGCCTATCGGCGCAGTGCAGCCGCCCCAACGTATCAACATCGCGGCGCGCGGCGGCCGACCCCTGCTGGCACGGTGCCCGGGGGCGTCGCCAGCTGGCCGGCCGCCGCTGCCGCCCCGCAGCACCCTGTTTGTGCCAGCGTCACCCGGAAGCGGCCAGCCGGTGACCGCACGCACCACGACGACTCAGCACGCACAGCGCCGTCGCTGCTGGCACGCGCATGGAACGCCTGCCAGAATCGGCGTCCGTGTGCACGCGAATTCCCCGCCCCTCCCCGCCGGCTGAAGCGCGGAGCGTGCCAGCGGCCAAGTGCTTAGTAATACGCCGAGAATAACCTCGCCAAAGGACGGGCTTGGCGTGTGGGGGCGTTAGCGTGCGGATGTCAAGGGATGGGGGATGATGGACGTGTGTTATTCGCCACTCGCGCTTCAATTTCCTTGATGCTATGCATCTCCTGTAAATGTTATTGCTTCACGCAACCCAAACTGATGCGGATAAGTGATGTTTTGCAGTTGTTTACATTTCGCAACGATCAAACCAAGTAACGGAAGCTTCCAACTGCATCTACGATTACGTCTGGACAACCCGGGTGGAGAGGCAAGCTCGGAAGAAAAATGACACTACACGGGACGATTGCTCGCCGGGGGCGGCTCGGTCGGCCCAAACACCTTGGCGTGGCCGGGGGGCCGCGGTGCCGGTTGCGATCGGGCCCAGCTGTCCGTCAGAGTGTCGGCGGATGGGTGGCGGACACGCCATCTCGCGCCGCTGGACGCCATCGGGTCGGGCCGAGCCGGCGGCGCCTGCTGGCGTGACGGCCGCGGGTCGTGCCCGTGCCCCGGCCCGGCCCGGGGGTAATGGCACCGGTGACCGGGCCGGCCGCACGCCACCGACCAGCCCCGCTCAAACGGCGCCCCGTCAGGCGAGCCCACTCACAAAGAAACCCCCAGGCAAAGGCAGTCCGGCTGAAAGAACTGGGACGGCGACGTTGCGAAAGTTGAGGTCACAGCCACGAAGAGTGAATTAATTGGTGTTACCCAACCGAAAGTAGGCTATTTTTGGATTGTAATATATCACGGGGGATTCGCCGCCACACGTAGCAGAGTCCGCTGCCTGCTCTGATGACGCCGAACGGTCGGGCGGCGGGCGAGGAGGCCGGCTCTGGCCGCCAGCCAGAGGACGTGACACGTTTGTATACCATCGAACGCTAACAGCGCCGCCGGCAGCGTCTCCGGTGACCCGCGGACCAGTCATCTGGCGAGGCCCCTTCGTGACCACGCTGCCGCGGAATGCCGACATGATTTCATGCTGCAGGGCGGCCTGCGGACTCCGCCGGCCAGCGCCGCCGCGCCGCCTCCTCGGCAGTTTGCAGGCTCATGTCGTGCTCGGCCCCACTAGCGTGGCACGTGGCGCAGATGCCCGCCTCGGGACGACCCATCGCCGCCCGAACGGCAGCGTCCATCACGACAGGGGCCGTTCGAGCCCGCAGGCCAAACTCGTCCAGCGGCTCGCTCGGCGACTCATTTATAATGAATTGGATACCGCGCGGGTCATTGGGTCCGCAGCCACGCAGCAAACACCAAGAGCTGACCGCAGTGCTGCGCTGTCCGGTGGAATAAGACGCAAGAGAACGCAAGACATCGCAACGGAACATCACTTGCTGACGCTGAACAACTAGAAATCCTGTACGCAAAGAAGCTATAGTGTACCACCTATCGGTCCTCACCTCTGATCCGACGCCCTGCCGCTTGATGCTGTCGCGGGAGCAGGGGAAGCAGAACTTGTGGTGGTTCTTGGAGGGACACTGGACGAAGTGGGTGTCCTCGAGCCGCTCCTGGCACAGGGTGCACTTGAGCAGCGCGTTGGGCACCGGGTCGGTGACGGTGGACGTGGCCACGCCCTGCTCGGCCACCACGCCCTCTGAGGTCGAGTGGCGCGATGTGGAGGAGCGGCGTCCGGCGGTGACGGCGCCGGCCGCGCCCGGTCCGCTACCCGCTGCCGGAGGACAGGACAGTCAGCGCCGCCACACTGAGACGGAGACCGCCACATCCGAAACCAGGATATCCCACCATAACGCATCCTATCACATGGCAAAGGTAACTTTGGATCAACCCTGAGTGCAGTGGACGTTTAAGTCAGCGTATGAGGACAGGTAATGAAGGACATCAGGACGATGACGTTCAATTTCTGCGCTGCTTCTCGATATGCATTGTGCCTCATGAATGTCACTTAGTGTGTCGTGTTTTTTTGTGTCCAAATGGTGTCATCCATCACAATATTGACTACACAGCTCCGCCCTGCCGACGCCCACCCGTGACGGCCCAGACCCGGTCGTGCCGGCGCCACACCACTGACCGGGCGCATCGTGACGTGACTGGGCCCGGCGTCAAGTGACGTCCCTGACAGGTAGCGTGAGAGAGCGGCGGGTGTCTGCCGCCCCTCCCGGCAAACATCGATCACCCGTCCCCCGTCAGACCGAGTCCGGAGCCGCCGCAGCCGGCAGACAACAAATAGTCAGTGGCAGAACGGCACGTCTCACCCCCTCCCAGACCGCCTACTCGCACGTGCGTGCCAGCGAAAACTGATTACCGTCCGACACGCACGAAGGCTGCGGGGGCACGCACACCCTCTGGCCGCCGGCACGGACGCGGCGCTGCAGAGAGACACGCAACTGGGCGACATACACACGAGCGCGCGTGAGACTGTAATCAGGAGAAGGCCGGGCACGGCACGAGGTAATCAGGCCCGCATCGCGCCCACACGAACAGAGAGAGAGAGAGCGGGAGGCAACATGACACGTCTTGGAACGGACTTCGCGTGTGTGCGCCTCAACATAAGCACGCGGGCCATATCCGTGCAGGCCGCTATCGAAAAACATCAGGAAATATTTCCAACTGAAACTGCTGCAACTACGCCAACTAACCCAAGTCACACTATTTGAAAAGGAACAGGTCCTATTTAGATCTGCAAAGTGTTTTCTAGGAAACTCCTAGAAGCGTTCATCTTTCGCAACCCATCATCACTGGCCTTGTCAGCTGTTTATACTGAAGCCGTAAATTCACAGAGCAGTGCCTATTACTAAACCTCACGACATCGTCCTCTCGTGGCAACAGCACCCAGTGCACGGCCTCGCCGTTCAGGGCAGACGTCTCTGGCCCCATCGGTCCGCGGATCTCCCGTCTCCTCAGGCCGTGAGCTCATCCCCCGCAGAGCTGGGAGCCGACAGCCCGCGGCACACTGACGTAACGTCCAGCGGGCGCCGGCTGAGTCACCCGGCCAGACTGGGGCGGCGCCCCGTCGGACGCCCCTGATGACGCACCTTCTGGCAGGCTGCGGACTGGCAGACCTAGCCAGTCGGAGGCGTGAGGAGCCGCTCAGATCAGGCGAGATTTCGGAAACCATGCTCTAGACGAGCGTCTGAAGTCTATTTAGGACATGAAGCCACTCTAGCCGAGGGTCCTGAAACCTTCCAGGTCGAGAGTTTTAAGAAGAAAAAAACAGCCGACGGTCTTGAAGCTTCTTTGATCGAAGAATCCGTAAGTAGCGAGGGTAACCGCAACGGGGGCCAGGAAGCCAGGAGCCGATTAGGCCAGGAAGCCAGAAAGCGATGTGATAGATATGCCACCCGACAAAAGACAAGACTTCAAAATATGTACTTGAAAGACGTCTGATGTTTTCTGGAAACACCACATTTGCAGTGTCACTCTGTAAGTCCGAAGTTGCCTCTGTAGGCGCCACTGAGGCCCAGGACGTTCCCCCTTAGACTGAGGCGAGGGGTTCGATCGCCTTCTGTACGGAGGCGAGGCATTGGAAGCCATCCAGACGGGTGCGGGCTCCGGCCGCAGTCACGGAATCGACCGGACGCCGTATACGGTTCGATTGGAGGGGCTGGAACAACGACCACAGTGACCTTCGAGCGGAGATCATGGCGACACTATTGTGGCTGAGGATGGGTGGATTCTGGGTGGAAAACTTCTGCATGCCAGTGGCAACTCAGGATTACAATTCTGAGCACAGCAGTGGGCATAACCCGTAAGCGAAATTGCGCGTCATAGCCATAGTAGAAAAAAAAATGTGATCTGCTAAAGCAGAAGACGTACAAGCAGATGGAGTGTGACTTATAGGAGTCATAATGCGTATCATAGTATGTATCGCTTGTTCGGCAAAATCAAACATCATGATGAAATGTCCGACATGTACCTACATTGTACAAAGCAAATACCTTATCAGGAATGTTGATCGTGACCGATTTCAAATGATAAAACTGCAGGAGGTCCCCACCGTATTGGTTGTCAAGTCACACAAGTGCACACTATCGTGCTGTGTGTACTTTGATTGAAGATTGGCTCGATAAACAAGTCCTAGTAACAACGGTCAGCGAATGCTCTGAATACTTGAGAATATCAGCATACGTTGACCTGCCTACTCGAGGCGATTACATTTGAAAGTTTTATTGAAACGGAAGTGCTATCGGGTTAAGTATTTGATGAATTACATCGGCCAAGCCATCCGTTGGCCCCTTGAGTCATGTCAAACGTGGTTGCTCAAGCGGGCCGTTAGCAGATTTGTGGGCGAGGTGCATGGGCCCAGGCGGAAGGAGGCGCAAAGTTTGAGAATGTCGGAGACATTTGCACGAAGTGTGGGTTCAGGGCGAATAATGTTTGGGAAAGAAATTAGGCAGACCATGTGAACGAAGGTAGGAGTTGCCCGAGTGCCATTTAACGGCGCTGAGAAACAGGATGTCACGAGTCCCTAGAAAGAGAACAACATCACAGTTGAGCATAAAGGATATCCATAGGAGTCAGTGCGGGCAAAGGACGAGAAGTTCGACGGTTAACATGTTAATAGGCGGTTATGTGTTGAAATTGAGACTACATGCGGCACTGAAGATAATCTAGCAGTGTAAAACAACTGGCTACTAAGCAAAAACTAGCATGAAAACGCGGAAAAGAGATTAAAGCATCGACAGTTAACGACGCCTGGACCTAAAATCAGCTAACATGACTTTACAAACCTGGGCAATAAAAAAGGCCAATAAGCAGTTCATCACGCCGGTTGGCCAAAAGCATCCATAGCGACTGGCCGGGAGTGCCGGGGTGGCGGACACTCCCGGCGGCACTCCCGGGGGCACTCACACGAGTTGGGCGAGTGCTGCGAGCTGCGCGACACGGACCGGGTCGAGGACGAGCCGGGGCTGCCGCTGTTGCGCGGTGAGCCGGGCGGCATCAGCTCCTGCAGCGCGGCCATCGGAGAGGCGCCCGGCCCGGCCGGCAGCTGACCAGAGGGCGAGCTGCGCGGCGGCGCGCCAGATGATGTCGAGACGGCCAGACCGTTCAGCGGCACCGGCACCATGCCTGGGAGGACGGCCCACAGAGGTCAGCGGTGCAGAGGACGGCCCCAGAGGTCAGCGGTAGAGGACGGCCACAGAGGTCAGCGGTACAGAGGAGACGGGGTCAGCGGTACAGAAGACGGCCCACAGAGGTCAGCGGTGCAGAGGACGGCCCCAGAGGTCAGCGGTACAGAGGACGGCCCACAGAGGTCAGCGGTGCAGGGGACGGCCCCAGAGGTCAGCGGTACAGAGGATACGAGTACAGAGGACAGTCATTGAGGTCAGCGTTTGGCGTCGAAGATCAGAGAAAAGACTCGAGTCCAGGGATCCGGCAAAAAGAAGGAAGAAAGGAATCCAAAGAGTCTGTGTTAAATGAGTGTCGGCTTTAAGATTTGTCGGTATCAAAGGGGCTGCTTTCGCCATGAGAAGAACCATCTCCGCCATGTCATCATCGGAATATGGTCAGGCATGTGAAACAAGGAGTTACAGAAAGTTGTGAAAAGAACGCAATGCTGCTCTCGCCTCTGTCTGCCTCTGTGTCCCACGTTTTGCATGTCAATCTTTCAGCGTCCTCTACAAGACATTTGTGCAAATTGCATATGATCTTCGATGTCTTTGTCTATGATCGATCAGATCAGGCACATGTTAGCGATAAAGGTTCATGAAAGCAGTTTTAGTGATGAGAACCATATATGTTCTCATGAAAGCAGGACCGAATGGAGGCCAAAACAATAAAGCACTTGCAGGCTCACGAAACAATGCGTCATCTAACGTGATATTGACATCATTGTGTAGCATGAGGTCACCGTCATTGGATATACCTTCGCCGTCCAAACAACTCTGACGACGCATTAATGTACCGCAAATACAAGGCATCTCGACCCCCAGCACAGCATGGCTTTCCGAGGCTCGTGCAGGACGGCGCGGCGCACCGATGCGCCATTGACCGACACTCCATTACACCAGCGCGCCACAACCGTCGCCGGCGGCGCGTGGCGCGACGTGCGCTCGATACGCCGCGCCGGCGGCCGGTGCGCCGCGTCACGTCTCGACTGCGGCACGCACGCCGCGCACGCGATCCCGGCGACGTGCCGATGCGGCTTCGGAGCGCGGGGCTTCAGGGAAGTCCGAACTGAACCCCAGCCGAGGTCGGCGGAACACGGCGGCGCGGCTGCCGCGCGGGGGACGTGATGTCACCCTGCAGTCGTCAGCGGGGTCGGGGTCAGAGCTTCGCAGCGCTCGGCCGACCCAGAGGGGGTTTATTTATCCGGACAGAGGCGGCGACCACGCTGTCAGCGGCGGCCCTGCGCTGGAACCGCGGCCCGGACAGCGAGCTATCAGACGTGTGTTTACCGCCTGCAGCGGCGACAAGTGACGCGCCGCGCCGTGTTTGGCACTGTATACGATTGCGCCAGATTTGTCACAGAACTCTGTTACTAGCAGGGCATTCTTCAGACGTGACTGGGCCATGTCCGCCTTGTTTTGAGAAGAGGACAGAGGAACTAGGCTGCTGAGTGTTAGCGAAGACAGCCGGTTCAGTATATGAACCCGAGAGCCAGTGGGGCACCCGAACCATCCTATCAGGACGAGGACCATTCGGTTCGGACCACAGTCGCTGTGACCTCTGGCCTGACCGGGTCGCGTGACCGATCGGTGCCGATGCCCCATCCTGACACGCGAGCCGCACCGCCGGCGGCCCGGTGACCTCTGACCCCAGTCATTCAGTGCAGCTCCCCGAACCGGCCACTCGAGACGCGCCGGTCGGCCGGGTCGAAGGTCACAGCGCTGGCCGCCGCAGGTGTCCAAAGTGCGCCGGCCGGCTCTGAGCGGCGCCCTCCCGCCGGGCGGGGGCGGGGCGGGGCGGGGTGGGGTCACGCGGTCGGTGACCGGGGCGCCCGGGTCGGGCGGGCGGGCGTTGCCGGCTCACTGTATACAATATACATACACCGCCGGCCTGGGGTAAACAGTGACGTCGAGGGCAGGCGACCGGCCGGCCGGAATGACACGCCGGCCCGCCCCCCGCCCCGACAGGCGACGGGCTCCAGAGGCGGCGGCGGGTCACGGCCGACGACACGGGCCCCTCGCAGCCAGCCAGTTTGTTAGCATAACGCTGCGCTGAGCTGGCCAGATTTGAGAGAGCTGGACGCGTGCCAAGCGAGGGCGCCCGGGCGGGCATCGCGCCGCGCCGCGCCCGTTGCCGTGGCAACCGTTTGTTATTGACCCTGATTGGATGAGTGTGACATCCGCTGTACAGTTTGCCGGGGCGATAACTCATCTTTTGTCGTCGTTTACCGGGCGGCGGTGCACGGTGGTCGCCGGTGCAGCGTGCAGCGGTCGAGCATAGTGTGCCGCCACGGCACGCGAGCCGTCTCCACTCGACCATAGAGGCCATCCGTGTGGAGCCGCGTGCCTCCAAAGCCCGCTCCGGTCGGCCACTGCGTGCCGCCACGGTACAAATGAATATCGAGCGCTTCATTAGCGGCCGCACCGGGACCCAGGAGCGCCGCATTGGCCGCATGTGCGCCAAATTAGGCAGTGACACGCCACGCCGCGTGCACGGTCGGCCCGGGCCGCGCTCAGTCGCCGGTCACTGTACTGAGAACGTGACATGCGGCGCCGGGCCACCAAACAAAATGTGATCGCTCACGCGCTAGTTTTGCGCTCGTAAATGCGCCAAGTTGGCAACAGTTTGGCAGCCGGGTCCAGTGATGAATGCTTTTCGGTGGGGTCCGGCCAAGTAGGGTTCATTGATCCCTTGCTGCCGGTTGATTATGTTGTGCCGTGCTGGTTTATGGAGCAGAGTCACGCATGTCCGGCCATGTTACGGGCGAGCTCATTTGAAAAAGCGAAACTGAGCAACAAAACCAAACTATCGATGCCAGTCATGGTCGAACGACGAACAAAGGGAGTGATTTACTAATGGTTGGCTTTGAGCAATGCTTGCATGACGACTCCTAGGAACGGACAACACGTTATTTCGATCCAGACATTGATTAAATTTGTTTCAATCAAAAAACAGCAGAAGAATCATGTTACACTTAATTTGGTCACGACAACAAAAATGAAAAATAATGAAATAAAGCACGCAGAGATTTATGTAATATAAATTAGGGCGTTGACACGTCCGATCGGGAGTTATACGTTTAAGCAAAAACTAGGATAAACTAGGATAATCATCATGGGTTGCCCAATGCCCATATGAGCGAAGCCTGGAACGGGTCCTTTTGAACCCTTTACCTATGTACACAGACGGGGTTCACGTGACTTCCAAGCCGTCTTTGGCATTCCCGTAAGCTAAGTAGCAAACAGGCGTGCAACGCGCACGACATATCGCGAGTTTTCAGTCTCGGATAGCCAATCCCTTCACTTTTATGCCCAGGCCACATCCCTAAATGGCGCTAAGCGGCTGGCTTACAGACTGCCAGCGCACGGTATGCAGAACATGACGCGTCCGACGCCACTGCTGAAAAACAAAACTGGGACAATGGCAGCATGACAAGCCGCCAAAAAGGGCAGCGACTGCGGACCGCGTATACCGACAGTGGCTCCGACCAGGATCCCCGCAGAAAGACACGCGCAGTTTTATGTCTAGTTAACCGTGAGCTCACCTGTGAAATTGGATCAATGTTTTGTTGGTAAATCTAAGCGCCAATAGAGCCAATGTTGAAACCGGTCACCGTTTAGGTGTTAAGTTTGTCCTGACACGCTCTCGACGCTGGTAATATTGCATATTTGAGGACACGTTAACAAGCACGACATTCAGCCGATTCCTTCCACGTGCAGTCGTTTCCTAAGCCTGTCTATTTATCATTATTCATTTTAATGAATATAGGCCTGACAAGGAAACCTTACAAACTGGTATCGATAACGCACTTTAGCACCTACAGTGGCATATATTTTCCTCATCTCAGCTTTGTCCCTGCCCTGAGCCCCTGTGCTCCGTGCTCCGTGCTCCGTGCTCCGTGCTCCGTGCTCCGTGCTCACAGCCAGTCCCGGTGGAAGCCCGTCCCGTTTTTCTCCAGTGACGTCACTCAGTACCGGTCGCGGTGTGACCGCCGCCGGCAGTGCGCCGTCGCCGCCGGCCGCCATCGACCCACGGCCGAATCACCAGCATCCATTGAGCCCAGCTTGCTCAACAGCTGGCGGCGCCCCAAGGCCAGCTGACGTCACGGCTGGCAGGCGGCCAACTTTTCTGCGCAGCTGCCTGGCTCGCCGCGATGACGTGGTCAAGGCTGGACCGGGCGGCGCGGCGGCGCGGCCGGCCGCCGACTGTTTTCGTCCGAGAAACGTGCGCGTCCGCAAATAGACGCGCGCGACGGGCCGTCAGGTGCACAGACGGCTACCGTCGTACACGAGGGCGCGCCCGCCGACCGCCGCGCTGGGCCGGCTCCGACACGGCCGCACCCCTCCCCCTCCCGGCGGCACGTGACGCGTCACGGCAGACGGGTGTCACGTAGCGCCCGTCACGGATGCAGCGGCACGCCCGGGGCGTGACACGAACTCCGTGTGGGGATGACCTTATCGGCGGGGTCGTGTTCCGCGTTACACCGGCGTCACGTCCGCCCCCCCCCCTCCCACTGGGGGAGCAGCCGGGGCGCACGTGATGCCTTCGACGTGCCCTCCCAGCAGAGCCTCCGGTTTCCCCACCGGACTCGGGACAGGATGGCCAGGCGTTGCGTCACGTGGTCTGTTACCAGGTGAACAAAGACGGCACGGTCTGGCGGTGTGCCAGCGCGCACACTCGCCAGACTCGGCAGAGGGGAGGGGAGGAGAGAGAGGAGGGGAGGAAACCGGGGGCGTGAGCCCGGCACTAAACTCCGTCTCCCGGCTCCGGCGGCGGCACGGTCAGAGATCGATGTGCCTCTCGCCGCCGACAGCTAGACACAAAAACCGCCCAGAGTCCAAACATGTTCCGCAAATAGCCGGTAACCCTTCAGAACGGGACGGGGCGGGCCGCGGTCCGTCTCCCGCGGAAGGCGGGCGGAGGGCGCGGGGCGGAAGGCGGGCGCCGGGTGACCTCTACAGCCAGCCATCCGCGGTCAGTTCCGTGCCGCTCCGATGACCGGCCGCCTATCGCCGCCATCTCCCAGACGGTGTAGCGGCTCGACAGGCCGGCGCAGCGGCCACCAAGGCCGCGGGGGCGCCGCTTTTGTCTCCTGCACGGCCGGCCGGTCGGCGGCGGTGAGGCCGCCCGGCCGGCGAGCTTGGGTCGATTCCCATAGCCACCTGCGGGTCCCGGGCAGCCGGTGAGGCTGCGACGCCACCGCCGGACTCTCAACAGCGTGAGACGCGCCCCCGAGGCGTACCCAGAGACCCGCGGGGTGACAAGGGCCACCAGTCCCCAGACTCCTAAAGATAACCATTCCCAGTGAGGTCACGCATCTCCAGAACAGCGGAAGCGATCGCCTGCCGGGAGGAGAGGAAGCGCCGGCCGATAGGACGGGAAGCTGCCTTCCGCCGGCGGCGTCACGGCGGCGCCGTTCGGCCTCTCTCGGCGGCAGCTGCATCCCGCCGGCCGGGATGTGGTGAGTGTCGGGCGTCCGTTCCGCGGCCGGGTCGCCTCAGGAGACGTCCGAGCACCCTCCGGACGGAGCTCTGGGGTGCCACGTCAGCTCCCGGCGCCACCGCACCGGATGAATGGACACTGGACAGGGCGCGGCAAGAGGCGCGTCCCGGTCACCCTGGAGTAAACGCCTGCTCAGCGCGGCCTCTGCTGAGGCCAGCATGTGAGGCACATCGTTAGGGCGGACTTTGGAAGACGCGTGGCAGCCGATTTGGGTTACGTCCTGGGGACTTTGGCACCGACACGATTCCCGGAGCTATTGATAACATTATGTGACTTGTGAATGTGGCGTGAGCTCCATAAATTATTGAACCACAAAAGTAAGACTTGGTTATTGCATGCTTACAGCATACAATGGCATTGTTGTTAAGCACTGGAGCGCATGAGGGCTATTGTTACACGCCGAGTTCTTCCTCTCTTTGAAATCGGTTTGCAGTTCATGGCTTCTTTGGTATTGTGCCGTTTACTACGCTTTTTGTGTGCATGCAACAACTGCCACACGAACGTCGCATTATGTTACAGCCAGGTGTGCCGCAGATCAAACAGGCGCGAGGACAGGCCGCCTGCGGCCCGGCCGTTTCTCCGGCGGCTCTCACGGACAAGGTGTGTCCGCGGCTCGGAATGCAAGGTCCGCGCGGCGGCTGTCCTCGACCCGGGCGCGCTCGCCGTGACCGAGCACGAGGCAGGCTGTCGTGGGCGTGCCGCCGCCGGCGCCCGACAAGTTGGCACCGCTCACAGGCGATCGGGCGGCTGGCACGCCTTCTCCCGGATGCGTCGCGGGGGTCTGCCATGACGAGACACGTCGCGTAGTTTCCCGCAGCGTCTCTGGCCGCTGAACGCCCACCGTCCGCCGGCCACGGACCGTGTCCGACGTCCACCCTGTTCCGGTCACCGTCCACCGACCAACCGGCACCGGCGACTCGGCGCGCAGTGACCGTGAAAGTGGTCGGCTTCGGCGGTCGGCTCAGCACGCGGAACCGGCGCCGCCACGCGCCACGTCACACCGCCACGGGTCAGAGCGCACGTGACGCGTGAGTGCCGTGCACGCCGGCCGCCGCCGCCGGCTGGGCTCGTCATGCACGGCAGCCTACGGCGAGATGTGCCGCGGCGCGCGGCGACGTGCAGCGGCGCGCGGCGGAGGGTGGCGGAGCGGCGCGGCGCGAGTTGGGAACCAGCGCTCGGCGCCGGCCCGGTACGCACAGGAATGCCATCTCACTAGGCGGCAACAACATGATGAATCGGCAGCCCGGAGGACAACAGGGGTCGACCGGGCGCGCGGCGTGACGGGCACCCCTGCGGGCCCGGCAGGCCACTCCGCCCGATCCGCCCGGGAGATCAGCAGTCGCACCGCGACCAGACGGCCGGGAGGCGGGCCGAGCCGGTTTGTCGCCGGCGCAGTCCCCTGATCCCCGGCACCAGTGGCATCCCAGTGGCTTTCACTCTCGTCGAAGGCCGCCCGCCGCGGAATTCTGGGTATGCTGTCGAGAGGAGCGCGGCGAGCTAGCTAAGATGAGGACGGGGAGGGGAGGGAGGTTTAGAAACGGCGAGGGAGGCGGGACAAGCCCCCGCGGCAAGCTCCTTGACATGACGATCAAGTGTCCTCAGGTCGTCGAGAGGTCAGCGGAAGTCCCTAGTATGATGAACAAGGTGTCTAAGAAGTCCATTAGGCCGCGGGCGGGATAACGAAGAATGATTGATGTGCTGATGATGATGCCGAGCTGTGATGTGGCGACAATGACAGCTGGTGATGGACGGACAAATGTGCGTGTGACCGGCGTAATGTGAGGAGTGACAGCTATGACAAACTGTGGGACAGGGGTAACGGGTATGACGTCATTAAGTACAGCATGCCGATGTGAGCGATGACAGATGAATTGGATAACTTCACGGATTGATAACCGTTCAGATCTTGGGAACAGAAAAGAACGTGGCTCACAAAGTACATCTAGCAAATGTCAAATGCTTAAGATTTGGAGAAACGTTTCAAGGTCTAGCAGCTTACGAGGCAAGACAAAAGGCTTGTTGAATGATCAGCAGTTATGAGGTAGCCGGATAAGCACGTAAATAGAAGTAAGCACAATAGGCCAAACATCGAAACTCAATATAAAGAGCAAAATTTAGTGATACCAAGAATGAGAGATATCAAGAGAATGAGACAGCAAGACGAAAAGATACCAAGAACGATTTACACCATTGACCAGCAACAACAGCACCAGCAGCGCGCTGGGTGGCGGCCCCCACTACCGACCCTGCCAGCCCTCTGGGCACTCACCGGCCGGCTTGTGGCTGTTGTCGAGGCTGTAGACGCGCGCCGGCAGCTTCTCCTTGAAGCGCTGGTCGTACGGGTAGCCGGCGGCCGGCAGCGACTCGCCTCGTGTCAGCGGCGGCCGGTGGTGCGGCGGCAGCTCCTCCAGCATCGGCCGCTTGTGGTCGCTCTCCTCGGAGGGCCGCTCAGAGGGCCGCTTGTTGGGCGGCAGCGGCGGCCCCGGACGGCCGTGCGCCAGCTGAGAAGGGTGCGGCATCGGCAGCTCGCAGTGGGCCGGCGGGTGCGGCAGCCGCGGGTGCGGCGCCGGGTGCTCGGCCACCGGCAGCGCGCGCGCCCGGTGCAGCGTGTAGGTGATGCCCGGGTGCGGGCCGCTCGGCCCGCCCGGTCCGCCCGGCCCACCCGGTCCTGTCGGTAGGCCGCGCGCCTCCAGGTTCACCGCCATCACGCCGTTCTGGGCGTCGTGCGGCGCGCGAGACGTGGCGTGTGGCTTGCCGGCGTGGCGCGCCTCCTGGAAGCTGTGCGCCCGCTTCTGGTTGCGCGCGTTCTCGAGGACCATCTCGATGCGGTCGGCGCCCTCGTAGTTGACGCAGCCGCGGCAGACGGGCTCGCTGAAGTCGTGGATCATGGCCCACGGCATGCGGGGCAGGTCGCACAGGTAGCACGACTGGCGGTGGCCGCGGCCGTAGGCGGCGGACGACATGGCGCTGGCGCGGAGAGGTATCACGGGACCTTCGCGCGCCCCCGCTCCCCGACGACTGCCGCTCCGGCACGTCGCCGGTCCGACAGGCGCACGGCGCATGCGCGCGAGCCGGCGCCGGCCGCCGCGGGCCCAGTCGCGCTTATTGATAAACCGTGCCCCAGCGTAAAACTGTACCTCGACGGGCTGGCAGCCGCGGGCGCGCGCATGCGCTCTCGGTCGGCCTGGCAAAAACGGCCGTTTGTTTTGCTGGGAGCGCATTCCGGTCTGGAGGGAGACGGGCCGGATCGTGACGTAGCCCGTGACGTCACGGGGCGATCGATGACGGCGCCTCTGGCGGCGGAGCTCTGAACTAAGATGTGCGGAGAAGCCGCGCTGGCCCGAGTCCTTTGTGACAGTGCTGAGTATTTATTTCGGCGGCGATGTGACGACGTGAGTTGTCACTTAAAAATGGTTGAAAATATTTGGAGGAAAATGAAAAGCGCAAAATTTTGATTCGGTGTATAGAAAACACGGGTGGCATCGCCGCCCTAATGGCCAATGGGCATAATGGGCCGCCCAACGGGCTACTAGCGAGTGGTCGTCTTTGCTGCGATTTTTATTTCACACGAAAATCGAAAATCGAAAAATCCCCACGGGAAAGGTGGGGAAAGGAGCATGAGAAAAGTTAGCATCCGGCCATTAATTTTGGTGGCTGACCCTCTCTCTTCCAATTCGGCACCAGCTGGATACTCTTATTCACTGGCGAATCCAGAAAGGCGGTCCTGGACGCTGCGAGAGGGAGCAACCCCCCCCCCCCAATGTTTCATGCAAAAAAAAATCCGCGGAATTTGATTCCTTACTGCTGTGCAGATTAAAACATACGTTCCTAATAAAAAATGTTGAGTTTTCTTTTTATCCCGAAAAACGTGAAGTTTCGTCAATGTCGGCCGTCGGGCGCCGCGGGGGGGGGGGGCACCCGGCACCCGGCACCTCGCATCGAGGGAGGGGGCATCCGGCTCTTTGAAGCTCGTTAGTCTGAAAGGCGATCACGAACAGCATCTCGATTGAAAATCAAATAAAAAATAAAACATTAGGTACCAGCCATTAGCAATTATGACTCGAGATCCCCCGGAAAAGTGCACGTTGTCACAATCGCCCTCTGAGACCAACGGGCCAAGAAATCAATTTATGGCCCCCAGCTGACGACGGCGCCTTTCTAAGGCGCTATGACCGTTTACACGTTTGCCCATTCTGAGCTCACCACACTGATTGCATCGTTTGAATCACTCCGAACTTGCTGGTATATATGCTTTCAGGCCACATAATAAATAAGATGTTACGCTGTGACTCATTTCCATCCTACACTTCTTGTGATGTTAGTACTTGGTAGTTGCTGTAGGTAATAGGTATATAGCCCTTTTAGATTAAATCCAGCTTACCAGACGCATCGCCCTATGAACCATGCATAAAGTTCAAACGCATTTCTGTTTACTCACGAAGATTTATTGGTTACCCACGGCTACGTGTCACCATCTGAGCCCACAATAAGCTTCCGATATCCCCAGAGGCAGAGGCAAGTCCTCCCCTATCGTCAGAAGTCCTCCCTGCGGTCAACTTACTAAAGATTAGATTAGATTTTGCTTTTGCTGTTGCTGAGTGATGATTGATGCAAAAACTTTTTCTTATATTTAGGCATACAAGCTTCTATCCACCAGTATAACGCCTTTTGGGGCGACTAACGGAGCGAGCGAGAGGGTGAGCCTTGCACGTGCGAAATTTCGAGGGGGTACCTCCAGTTGACTTGTGCACGGCACCCTACTAACCGGTCTCTAGCGATGTGCCGAATTTGAGCACAATCGGCCCAGCCGTTCTCGAGATCTGGAAGCGGCACCCTGCACGTGCGCACGTGCAAAATGAGTCCCAACTGACTTTTGCACGGCACCCTACTAACCGGTCCCTAACCATGTACCAAATTTGAGCGCCATCGGTCCAGCCGTTCTCGAGATCTGGAATCGACCCCTGCACGTGCGCACGTGCAGCAGCACCCCAACTCTGGCACATGGATATGCATTGCCTAGTGGGTGCCTACCTACATGCCAACTTTCAGCGCAATCGGCCAAGTAGTTACCGAGATATTGCAACAATTACAAAAGTGACACCTCTTCGTTTTGCACGTGGCACGTGCATAAGGGGTCACCCACATGCATCGGGAATAGTCCAATACTTGGTAGAAGGAATGAAGCTTCCCTACAAAAATTACCGCGTGTAAATCGGTCAAGTGGTTGCTGAGATATAAGCCTCGCAAAAGCGTGACCACGGCCGGCCGGCCGGCCGGCCGCTCATACTCAGAAATTTCCGTTAATCTAAGGAAAGACTACGCTCGCTTCGCTCGCTCCGTAACTATAAGAAAACGGCAAAGTCGCGAATACTAAACACCGCCAGGCGCATGACCCAAACTCCACAATCGCCCATTGGTCTGCCAGTGGTCTGCCATAGTTTACCTGTGTGCCACGGCTGACTTCCCATGTCCTTTAGTGAGTCGGTCTGCCCTCCCAGGCTGTTGCGTGCCAAGAGGCATTGCCTCGCCACAGACGTAACCGCGATAGCCCTGAAGCTGGTCGCTCGGCACGCCAATCTAAAGTGAGGGCGAAAAATGTCCCGAGGCGGAGGAAAAGTCCGTGCACTAAATATGGTTTAGCTGCCTCATCTGTAAGAATCTTGGCTGCCTCATGGAGACGACTTATTATTGATGTGCAGATGATCGGAATTCCGGAGATGTGTAAGGTACTGTAGGCACTGCGAAGTGGTTTGTAATTTTGCGGCATTTTTAGGCAAACGTTATGTCTTGTTCTTTGAGAATAATTAGAATATTTGCGTTCGAACGTTAAGAACACATCATAATGACCATCCCACCTTAAAATAAGTTTTGAGCTGAGATAGCCAAAATGGGGTCCCTGGCTTGCACTTGCCGGTTTGAGCACTCACAACATCGAGAAATGCCCCTCAAATCGAAAATATCTAATTTCATAGTTGCAGCACATGGATTCAGAGGGGCTAATGCATTGGAATGCCCCCTCTGAATGTGTGACGTCAGCGCAGATCTAACGACTTTAAATCTTTTACTAAAACGCTTTGAAGCACGCGGTGGTATATGCTGCTTTGCGCGCAACAAGTGCCGCACATTCAAATAAAGTCGCTAGGAACAACGAAGATCCCAAAAAGTAAACAAAGATAAAAGTCTAATATCTTGAAAACCGGTGAATATTTTCAATGAGATTTGGTAGATATTCGTTTTCACCCTTTCTGAAACGAACGACATCACTTTCATGCCAATTCATTAACCTTTTTAGGTGGGAGAGTCCCTTTAAAAGTTTAAAGGAATGCTAATCGTTGATAAATCGTTAATTCGGCGTCAAAATGTTTCTGCCCGAGGTTTGAACTTTGGCGATATTTCCTTCCCTAACTTCTCGTGTTGAAAATTTACATTGTTCTGACTTTATTTTTATGCATCTCTGATGCAATGTACATTCTTTTTTGCAGCCTTTCATATGACTTCAAATCGCCATCTCAATTAGATCGGGAGGCATAACGCAAAACGCCAATGGCCTGAAATGGTCATACAATTCTCCGCTGCGCTAAGACAGGAAGGTATGTTACTTAGCTGAATCCAATTAAAGTCATCCCTTTATCCGCATATACGCAGAAGGCATAGAATACGTACTTACAAACCCATATCATAACTTTTGTCAGTGGAGCGTGACTTGTTGTTGATGGTAGTAAATAAACAAATAAACAAAGGATTCCTGATGTCAAGGGAAGTGTGAGCTTAACATACCTTTGAAAAACGCAGAGATAGTAATACAACTGGCGTCATAGGCGAGTGTTCTGACTTGGCGAGAAGGTAAGGCAGGCGAGGTCAGATGAGCATGGTACGATTTGAAATTGCCGTGTGACCCAAAGTTAATGATTGAAAGATGAAGATCTATTTGTAGTAATTCTTATGCTTGGTTTATTTATCTACCATTAACCATTTGTGGGCATTCGTGAAAGCTCGACGGTTGTAAGGGAGCCCATTCTCTCTCGAAATAGAAACGGCCAATGCCTCTATCTTTTCTCCTTTGTCTTTCATGTTCTTTTGCGGATAAAGACGAAAAATTGAATGAATCACACCACTGCATAAAAGCTTCTGCTTATCTATGTATATGTAGTGAAAATCAGGCTAATTTTTTTGACAAGGTATGATAATCCTGTTGCGAGTAACACTGAATGAATCAACAACAGGAAAAATAGAGAAAGACATGTTTCCAGAGTGGCTTCGCTAATGACAAAGATAGTTCTCAGAGGAGAAAAATCCAAAAGCATTGGAACACATTTTAGAAATACATGTATGTTCATATGATACGGTCTGAAACTGTCCCTCTTTGGTATTTCACACCGTAAGCAGGAATAGAGAGAGAGAGAGAGAGAGAGAGAGAGAGAGAGAGAGAGAGAGAGAGAGAGAGAGAGAGAGAGAGAGAGGAGAGAGAGAGGGAGAGAATGGAAGTAAGAGCGGAAGGGAGAGATAGGTATTGAAAGTGAGAGAGGGCAGGCACGTAACCAGGATTTTGCTCAGGGAGGGGCCACAGGTCGCGGCCCAGTGTAGTACCCCCTCCAAAAAAGGAAAACTCTTCGGGATTTGGCCCACTATTTTTTGGGGGGTGGTACAGTTGTTTTTATTTTTATCATTCCTTATTAAACTTCATTTTATTTTTCGGCTTCAGGGAGAGGGGGCATGGCCCCCGTGCCTCCCCCCTGGCTACGTCCCTGAGAGAGGGATCACTTGCATACGAATTATTTTGCGTTGTTTTGAGTTTTTACACCTTATTGTTAGTCTTGTATGGTAAAAATGTCCAAGAATATATAACACTGACACTATTCTAACCAATTGTTTCTAAAACCCTCTCAGCTAGACCAGTGTCTACTCCAGCAGCACCAAGGGATTGTTCTAGACTCTAGAGCGTCACGAAAACCTGTTTGTCTTTTTCCACGTCGATTGCGCACAACTCACCGCGCTGCTCACATGTTTTCGTCTGCATTTCTTCCGAACGATGCTAATTGTCATTCCCGGTGCTCTTCGGCCTGTCCGCCCGGAGTGCATTGATGTTTCGACGCACGCACTGCCCGCAGTGAGGGTGCATCGGACGAAAAGCTGCGGGACGACCGGGGGCCGCCGGGAGACTGCAAATACGCACAGCAGCGCATCCCTACCTGCGCTGGTAGGCTGGCCCGCACGACACCAC